TAAATGTATAAAGCGGTGGACATTTGGCCACTTTAACTGCAAGTTACAAGCAGAGGACTATACCTCTGAAGGGCCTTTCTGGGATGCTAGAACCACAAATCCTGTTATAAAGTGACAAAAAAAAGATTAAAAAATCATTCTCAAAGGAGTCGAGGTGATCAAAACCGGGTTAAGAGCTAAATTGCCCGCATCTGATAGCATGCTGCGGCTGGACTCTGGTGTGGTCTCGTTATTTGGAGGGGTTTTACTCTCAGATGCCAAAGCCTCACATAACAAAGAGGGCACGAGTTCGAAGGCGATAATCCAAAAAAGCCGCCTTTTATATAAAAACACGTCGGATCAATGGAGCGACGGCAAAAAGCGTAAGAGGATTTTCCACTAGCTCGTGGTTTTTAACGGAGTCACATGAAGACAGAGATGGAGGTGTTTGGAGAGGTTATCGCGACAATTTAACGCTAAGTTTCTCACTTCAAAGATACCAAATAGTGTGTTTTTGACAGCCTTTTACAGGAACAAACTGAAGGGTTTATGCCAGTCAATTTCAAGCCACCGAAATGGGAGACCGGAACTTGGAAGCTTCTTTTCCATCAAGTGAAGATATGAACTATCTATCATGCGTACATTAAAGGAAGTGCATGCTCCATACTATTATAGAGACTAATGGTTACATTATTAGGGTCTTATCTGTCACTTTGCGGCTCCATGTTTGCTGACCTACCCCCTCACCCCTCCCGGTGACCCTTATGTGAAAAGAGGGTTATGAAAACTGAATGGATGGATACTAATACACTGGAAAAGAGTGGGCTACGATACAAAACAGTACATGATAGGAAAAAAAAAACATAAATGGCCACAGTCAGTTGGGGAGTTAACTTAATTCAATACATCTAGGAGAAGGTGTTTATCCTTTTCTAACTCATTCCTGCAGTGAGGGGACGATGTTTCTATTTTAATCCTGGTCTGAATCTGAAACATTGTCAAATGATTGGGTGACTTGTAATAAAAAGAGGTTGTGGAAGGCAGGAAAAGCCGGCTTACCTTTATTCTAGCTCACACTGTTGCGTTTTTTACTGCTCCAGAGTGGTTCCACCTGCCATAATGGATACTGTACAAAGAGCGTTAGGGGGTGGTGTGTGTTTGTGTGTGTGTGGGTTGGGGGGGGTCGGGGGGGTCTAGGGTCAGTGGTGACGTCGGGGCGGGGTGTTTCCCTCACCTCGTGTCGCTTCAGCCAATCAGAAAACGTGCCGATGATTTAATTGGGATATTCTAGCGGTGTTAATTCCTGCGTCTCTCTCTCTCTCTCTCTCTCTCTCTCTGTCACGCGCGCGCTCGCGCTGACGCACGCGCACCTCCAGCTGACAAACGCCCAGAGAGAGGAGAGAGGCGTAAAAAGCCGAAAGCCCGAGTCATGGAGGCGATCTGGCTCTACCAGTTCCGGCTGATCGTCATCGGGGACTCCACGGTGGGGAAGTCGTGCCTGATCCGGCGGTTCACGGAGGGCCGCTTCGCGCAGGTGTCCGACCCCACGGTCGGCGTGGACTTCTTCTCCCGCCTGGTGGAGATCGAGCCGGGGAAGAGGATCAAGCTGCAGATCTGGGACACGGCGGGCCAGGAGCGCTTCAGGTGAGAAAGCGGCCGCGTGCGCGCGAGAGAAAGACGCGCGTGGCTCTGACTGCAACGGGTCCATTTAATTGGTTTAGGATCAAGATCTCTGCACGAAAGTGGCTGCAAGAAAAATCCCCCACTTTGGAGAACACGTGTGCGTTTTAAAAGCAAATATAAAAGCGCCACAGTGTAAATGTCAAAGCAGCGTCTATTCTAACAGAGCTCTCTGTTCCTCTCCCACAAAGAGTGACACTGGATGGTTCCCAGGGTTGAATGAATTTAGCAACAATGCTGACCGAAAGCATCCAGGCACATGGATGCTATGAGAAAAACAACATGAAAGCAGATTAGAAAATCAGGGTTCAACATTTCTCCCTGATCCAAAACATTGATAGTCTCTATAGTGAATTGTATCTGCCACAAGGATACATTTGCTATAGTTGCTTGGTTTTGGATGCAACTGACAGACTCTGAGTGTGCACGTCTAAAAAAAAAAAAACATGGAAGTGAAAATCAGGCGATCCAAAGAAAATGAATTTCACGATTACAGAGATTTGTAAGTTAGAGTTCTGGAGAACACATTCTACGCTCCTTTTTACGTACGCAACTTTTATCATGAAGCCACACGGCCATGTCAACCTGTCGTCCATCCATCCATCCATCCATCCATCCATCCATCCATCGGCCCTGCAGGATCGGTCATGTAATACGTTTCTAGAAAGGTCTTTTTTTTTTTTAGGGTGGGAATTAATGCAGGATGAAAAAAAGGGAGTAAACTAAAACCCCACCGGCTGAAGATTCGGTGGAAATAACCGTAAAATCCTTGAGCATCACATGTCCTCAGCAGAATGAGGAACTTGTGGTTTAGAACTTTGAATCCTCATCCATCTAGAAACTGAAACAAGCATTCTGTGTAAGTCTCTTTTTTTTTTTGTTGGTAATAGCGTACATCTAAGCAGAAATCAGACCATCTGGTTTTAGAGAATTGAAAACCAACAGAGATGCAGAGCAGAGTGTAACTGACCGCTGACCTTAGGTTAGGGTTAAAACATGTTTGTTTTTTAAATGGGGCCCTCACTATAATCAGCACCATTTCATTGGCTGTTTTGTTACATTTGAATTCACCTTTGAAATCTTGTCACTTCTTGGCTGGCTACCTAAAATGAGCAGGGGTAGAAAAAGTTTATATCTGTCACTTAATGCCTGAATAATCTATCTAACACAATGTCACGTTGTACAATCAGAGAAAACAACAGAATAGGGGTTTCTAAAGTTTACTGGACTGGAGTGACCCGATACTCTGGCCGCATGTCTTCATGGCCTAACATCCGACAACCTAGACCTCTCGCACACTGGCGAGCCTTTAGACTTCCGTTTCAGCTGAGTTTCTTCATTTTTTTTACCAAGAAGGCGAATGCCAAGTTTAGAAGTCATGCACCTGTGGTGTGTGAACCTCAAATGAACCTAAATTGGTTCGGGATTTCCCCCTCGCTGTGGCACCCGCTAGCGCAGCCTCAACAGGAAACGTGTTGCTATCTGTCCCAGATGCGACTTTAACCCTGCATGTTCCCGTAATGCCAGCCAAGCGACACGCATTCAATCTAACCCTGACCTTTTACGGTACAACCTCTACATACGAATTGAATTCGTTCCGGGACCTACTCCGTATGTTAAAATATTCGTATGTTGGTTCAAATATTCCCATAAGAATACACTGTAATTGGTATAATTCGTTCCACAGCCCCAAAACCTACGATAACTCCTCAATAAATACGGCAGATAATTACACATAGCAATAGAACAAATGCATTATATAAGAGATTGTAAAAAGAAATAAATTAGAAAGAAATAATCAATGAAAAGGGATTTTTATTGGCACTTTACCTTAGAAACTGGTAAACGGAGGTGTAGGCTTAGCGATGCAGGAGACGGTCGGTGTGGAGGTGGAGACTGAGATACAGTACATACTGTAACTTACTCTAAATTTCACTATGCAAACTTTAAACTAGCTCAGCTCATTTATTTATTTTTTCTATGACTTCGACACCATATGTTGGAAATTTACTTTGGGTGTTGAGTCGAATATTTGACCAAATTTTACTTCAGACGTTGGAAAATTCGTTTGTTTAGGCAATCGTAAGTAGAGGTTCTACTGTATTTACTTACCTTTCAAACTGCCTACCTCTTGCAAGGAGGTTGGCTTCTGTGGGTGAAGACGAAAGGAGGCCTTTCTAGGCTAAACAAACCACATCTAGATCTACGTTTTTCTTCTTCCAGTCAGGCAATAGGGATGGAGACGGGATGCAGTACCCTTAGGCCGATCTAATACCCCTTCCTAATGGCTGTCAGAGACATTTAATGTTACTGCATGCACAGTTATTAACCGAAAGAGCTGTCCTCTCTGAAATCGAATCATTTCTACTCCAGATCCTTCAGCTATCGCACCCCCGTGACTTAGATTTCAGTCTTTTCTTTCCAAAAACCAAAACTCAAGGCTTTATTGTGCTTGGTTGGGTGGAACCAGTACTACGGTAATCCCTCGTTCACGAGGACCTCCGTGTGCCCGTGAGAGACTTCAGATGCGTTTTACGTCCCGTGCAGGTCCATCACCAGGGCTTACTACCGTAACTCTGTGGGTGGGCTCCTTCTCTTTGACATCACCAACCGCCGCTCCTTCCAGAACGTCCACGACTGGCTGGAGGAGGCCCGCAGCCACGTCCAGCCCCACAGCATCGTCTTCCTATTGGTTGGTCACAAGTGCGACCTGGAGGCGCAGCGCCAGGTGCGTACGGCAGGGGGAGTGGACAAAAAGATGGTCAGCCACAGATTTGCCATGAGGCGGCATTAAGTGGGAAGTTATAAACCGTGTGGGGGGATGTCTCCTCAAGAGTATTACCGCAGTCTGCCGTTTTAAAAATAACCATTTGCTCGGCACAAATTTGGCTCGAAGGTGAGCTGTCATTTTTTTTTCATTCTCTTGGGACGGCAAGCAGACAGAAAGTAAAAATATCACAAATCAGAGTTCTGCATGACAGGATGACTTTGCAAAATGCCGTGCACAGCGTTGCTTATGCGATCATTTACTGGTATTATAACAGTGAGATTTCAATTAAACAAAAGTGCTCACTTTTAGAATTTACAATTGTATTGGAAGGCTTATGTATCAGCTACTTTACTGCCGTTTTGAATTCAGAAGTAATACTGCAATTTCTTAGAACCGGAAGACATTTTTTTAGGCAATGCGTTGTAAAATCAAACAGGGTTTTTACTTTCCAACGTAGTTGACTCCGTCAATCTTGCAGGTGACCCGGCAAGAGGCGGAGAAACTGGCGGGAGCCTACGGGATGCGCTACATCGAGACGTCCGCCCGCGACGCCATCAACGTGGAGCACGCCTTCACCGAGCTGACCAGGGACATCTTCGCCCTGGTGCGATCCGGCGACATCACCATCCAGGAGGGCTGGGAGGGCGTGAAGAGCGGCTTCGTGCCCAACGTGGTGCACTCGTCGGAGGAGGTGACCAAGAGCGACCGCCGTTGCCTCTGCTGATCCGGGAGCGGCTCGGGCCTGAGGGGCGGTCAAGGGGCCCGGAGGGCGGCCGGCCGGCGGACCGAGGTGTTGGTTGGAACTGTTGGGGACTCTCTCCTGATCGTCGCTCTTTGAAATGGATGCAAAAAATGGAATATTCGAGGATTTTCTGTGAAAATGCTGGTGCACGGTGTCGAAAAAGGTTCTCAAGTGAGACTGACGAGTTCTTTCCGCCTCTGTATACACTTTATTTCGAAAAAGGGAGGGCTACCAGATGCTCAGTGGAAGATCGGAGGCGCCCACGACGGGATTCACTTTAGATTCACTTTGTCTTCCGTCCTTAAAAAAAAACACAAAAAAAACAGCTCTCCCTGAAAGTTTTGCGAAGGCCTTAGAAAGAGGATCCATTTTTTTGGGTCTTTATCGAAACTTGAAAGCCCTCTTGTTTTGCCTTTCTTTCCTTCATCATCACTCCTCCCGCTAACTGTCTCTCAGTATGCAACTAAATGATCACATAAAGGAACGCGTCTTAATTTTTTTCCTTTTTAGAGAAATCCTATACTTCTATTTCGGCACGGCTGAAATAAACCATGCTTGAATAAACTGTGTCTCTCATGTGCTGATATGACGCTCCACATTCCAAAGTCAACAGACGAGTCCTGGAGGTCCTGAGTGTGAGGAAGGAACTATCTCCTGCGTGGACCTGTGAATCTGTTGCTATTTTCTCTTTGGAGCCAGTGAGCTGAATGACATAGACACAGTTGCATTCACCATCATTCTGTTAAATAACACTATATCTTAACGCCATCGTCCATCTAATTCACATGGACTTTTATAGCAGGATGAAAGGTGTACAGATTCAATGACCCATTGGGGCTAACGGACTCCTAAAATCCTCATCTTCCTATCTTTTTGAGGGGGGAAGGGACGTTGGATTAATAGGGATGTTGGAACCAGAAAGCACCTTAACAGCCCAGTGTGTCTGAACTACCGGGCTCATTTGGGACATTTGAAAAGTGCAACTAAGCGAATTTGGGATACTTTATTTCTCGCAAGTCTAAGCCAACAGAGGAACCGGGTTGAGGGATACGTGATGAACGGACTCCACAAAAGAAACACTTTACCAAGAATGCACGCATTGGACAGTAAGGAACTGTAGCCCGATGAAACCACGTGGAAAAGGTCCAACTGGAAAACCAGTCCTCCCAGCACAGATACAGGCACAGTACAACGTCCATTTCTGTTCACTTGTAACTGCTTTTCATATAGTTATTTTCTTATAAATTCACAGATAGTGTCAAAACATTTTAAGTTATCTTTCACACACCCCAGTTTAGCAGGTGGGGGCTAATCCCATGATAAATGGTTGCAAGGTATTATAGTCTTAAGTGGGGCAAAAATTGTAAAAATGTGCTTCCGAGATTACATTTCAAATCGTTTGGTGGCTTTAACTAGATTAATGCAGCTCAAGAATCCAACTGACAGTGTAATACTTTATAGACCACACTATGGTTTGATGGTAATTGTTTAGGATCATGTGTTTACTCACCTTCTGTTGGACATTTAACTGAGAAGACAACAGTTCTATAATGTCTTTCTGGGCCGTTTGTGAGAAAGAATAAGTGCTTACCCTAGTCAGCTCCATTTAAAGTGTTGTACTTGAACTCCAAATACCGCATTTCCATATTCCAAATGAAAAGGAAATGGATCTCCAAATTTCCAACCACAAAAATGTTAAAATCCCTCAAAATTCAACATAGTTTGACCTCAGATTAAACCAGGCTACAGCACCCCTTTTACTTTATGTTTTGTTAAATATTTGACTCACCCTGTGCTGATTATAATCCGCCGTTATCTCTGGTGTGATGTCTTTGCCAGGGATTTCAGTGCCCCCCGCCTGTTCTCGTATCCTTTTGATGCTGAACCATTTCCCTCTTTGTGCTAAGCTAGCACAGCCTGAAGCAGCCAGGTAGGTAGCTCATCTCATAGGGAGACGGACGCATTTCCCCCAAATAAATCCCCTGCTTTGAGTTTAAGCTTCTGCCTTGATTTGTGAGGTTAACGTTTTTACAGAAATGATATCACGGTGCTCCTCTGAAGTAAAGCCAGTGAACCAGAAACAACTCAACAACCCGCTGTTTGTAGACCAGTGCTCATCTTTCCATTTTTCTTCAACTGAAATGACTCATTTTGGCCACAAAATGGATGGTTTGGTGGTCATTTATGCATTAGTTACAGAATTTACATGTGAACGAGTTATCTGAAGTCCCTCAGTACGGAGAGCTAATTTGTCTGACGGCGAAATGGCTACAAATGTACGAAAACTTGACAGTTTCTTCATCGACTTATCTACTAATGGCTCCTACATTCCTGTTAGCGCCTGTAGCGGTGCTGTGTTGTTTTCCCCTGCTGTGCGTATGCAAGGACGGCGTTTTGTTCCCTTTCAGTTCATACTTGAATGTATCCGATGGGACAAAGGTTTTTGCAGTTTGTCATGCAAGAAATATGAACGGTTCAAGTTAAACAGGCCTCAAAAAGCCCCAATCGGAAAAGCACTCCGAGAGGAATCCATCTCCACGACTGTGAGATGCCGTTAACAGACAGAGAAATGATCTGGGGGGGGTGGGCGGGGGGGGCGAC